CTTCTTCGTCGTCCTCATAGCCGTCATCAACTGAATATGGATTATAGGCTTCGACAATTGCGGCACTCTTTTGGAATCGGGTATCTCTGCGCATACTCTGGAATTGGCTATTGAACGCTGCCACTCGTTGAGCCAATTGACCTAAATTATCAAACTCTTGCCCTAGCAGCTTCTCTCTCCATATTGGCAATGTTCCTTGAACGGTCAAAGCAGCTAGCTGATCATCAGTCAAGTTCAATGAGAAACACAAATTTCTGGTCTCTGGGAACCTCTGAAGAAACTCGGTGCTCGATTCATTAGTTCTCTGCCTTATGGTCATCAAATCTATAATTTTCTTTTTTCCTGACCCAGTATAAAAAATATGTATGAAACTTCTTCTCTAGGTCAACCCAATTGGCAATGAAATTAACTGATAGCGATGAAAACCAAGTGAAGGCTGATCCTAACAGGGACAAGGGGAAGAAACAAACTCGGTGAGCCTCTTCAATGGATGCTTCACCCAACTGTGTAAGATACCGACTGACGTGTTCTATTGTGCTGGTGCTATCTTGGCCAGTGAACTTAGCAAACTCCAGGAACCTGTAATTTATAGAAAGAGCGACCAAATCATACCACTTTGGATATGGACGTTTGTACGAAAAGGTCTGCCCTTTTGGCTTCAAACCGAAATGATTTTTCATCATCTCAGTCACTCAGAGCAATAACTCATCAACACTAGAATATGAATTTCTTTGTAATTGCTGATCCATTTACGGATTAAAATTTTGGGTACCTTGGTACCCCGGATTTGGAATCATATGAAGGGCATTGTAGTTTGTTTCATAATGATACCCTTGTGGAATTTCTATCTGTTAGGTCCTCTGCTGATTTGCTGCTTGAAGTCTTTGGTTGTAGATGTCGGGATCTGTGTCTCTACGAATCCTTTGAACTGATGATGCTATTTTTTGAGCCGACGATGGTATTTGGCCTGATGCGCCAAAATTAACCATTTGATTCTTAGTTTGCCCCGTCGGTTGTTGCACATGCTGTACTGATGTTCCAGGATTATACTGCATCTGATTAGTAGTGGTGCCTCGAACTTGCTCAGATGAGCTCTAAACTGCCTGTACATCATGATTACCAGCTAGTACTGCTTCTTGATGGCTAGTACCGGCTTGATTAGTCCCCTGAGTCGACGGGTGTGGAATGTTATAGTAAGCCGGTCCAACCTGATCAATTGGATATCTATAAAATACCTCCTTCATGGTATTTGTGGAATGTGTTCAAGAAACTGTATTATGGTTCAATATGACATCATGAACAGATTTGTTTACGGCATCCATGAAGAAATGTCTATCCTCAGCTTCGTTTGTATCTGACTGTCCATGCATCAAAACTCTTGGTAGTGGATATTTCTGAACAACTTTATTGTCACGTGTCTTAGTGTAGGACAACAAACACTTGTTCTGAAATTCTTCTATAGCTTTACCGATGACATCCTTATCTTCATCAGGTAGGTCTTCATAAGGCACCATGAGAATGTCACTGTTGTTGTAAGTTGCCATGATGATTGTGAGGTCCCACCGGGCATGCCAGAATGTGTGTCGACGCAAAAATGTGTCAATGCGCCTGGCACACAGCAAGTCGGAAGGATCTGCTTAGGATGAGCCCGGAGATCCGCTTGGCTTCAACACAGGACCAGTCGACCCTGCGAATTCCCGAAGGTGTGCCAGTCAATTTGACCTGCAATTGACAAGGAGAGAAAGTTTATTAGTAATTTAAGGTGGAACATGCCGGTCTTGCCCAGATAGTTCCAAGTGTGCCGCTTCGGGAGCAGCCAGACGGAAAAATCGACTAAATAGCCGATACGAGAAGAAATTGACTGTTAAGGACTGTAACACTCGCGGGTTGTGATTGATTTTATAATGACGAGTGCGATGCATTCAGTTTTTATGATTCTTTCCCTTAAGCTATTAACATGTATACGTCAGAGATACATCACTGGCTAAATCAGATTCGATCAATACGTAGTGTAGAGCCAATGAATTCGGTGAAAAAGGGATATGCCACGCATACAATCGACTGTTTGATACAGACAGACCTACGAACCGTCTAGATCTAATCCATTATCGTCAACAGTGAGATTTGATTGGATCGATGCAGCTATGATGACGATGATAATTTAGAACCAGAAAACTCATAGAACCGACTATACTTCAACAGGTTCAAGAAAACGTGTCATATCTGTGAAAGCACAAGCGAATCGACTAAAATAGCCGATTCTGATAGAAAAAGGATCATAGCATGTGAATAATCGACTATTCAATACGAGCAGACTTATGAACTCCTCAAATCTAACCTATTATCTTTAACAGTGAGGTTCGACCGGATCGATGACAGCCATAATAAAGATAATAGATTAAACCTTTGAAGAAAATAGATCTATTCACATTTAATAGGATCATGAAAACATACTATGAGCGTTAAAGTGCAGGCGATCGGCTATTTAGTCGATGCAGGCATAGCAAACAGCCAAGGTCATGCCTGGCCGAAAGCAAATATACCAGCTAGTATCCTCCGATCTAAAGTACTAACGGTGGGGGTCGATTGGATCGATACATCCATAATAGCGAGCTATAGACCAGATTTAACTAGCTAATAAACCTTCTCAAGATTAGGCATGCCTTAATCGCGTACTATGCACGATCGAGATCGAAGTAGAACGGCCGATAAAACATAATCTGTCGTTTAAAGTGAGAACTGTTGTAATGTAACGAAATAAACGATGGACTAAAAGGATGTGAGGCTGATCTAAACCGATCTCGAGCGGGCAAGTTGATTTTTGCTGAAAGTGATGATAATAAGAACATCAGTAAAATCGGTAATTTAATGAATCTACCCGAAGTATGCCACCCTTGAGTAGAGCTGATAACTTGACCTTAATATAATTCGAGCAGTGGAGGTCGAACTTAACCGATGCAGCCGTACTTGAACTAGATAAGAATTGATAACTAGCTTATACTAAAGCTTGCAGTGGAGGGGAGGTCGAACTTAACCGATACAGCCTTACAAACAGAAGTATAAGCCATGACGGTACTTACAGACAAGCCGGAGATCGACCGGACCGATGCAACCCTGCTTGTTGAAAAACTCGTAGAGATCTACACAACTTCTAATTCTAAGGGTTGGCGTAAAGCCAAAAAAAGTAATTGGTATTGATTGATTGGATGTCTTTTTTATAATAGGCGGGGTCCAATATTTATACCCGGAACCTAAGCATGAATCCTACTCAAGTACGACTCATTACAATCTTTGGTATAAGAGAAAACATTCCTAACTTAAGATAACTTAGACTCTAATCTTTTTCCTTTATAGAGTCCGACATATTTCTTTCGATGCCAACCGTAGTTTATTGACGTTATCTGCTGACGTCATCCGAAGAGAGCTGATCCCAGTACCGTATCTGAACCAGCTGATATCGATTCTTAGGCAATTGATTCCCTGATGATGTGATCTTGGAAGCTTCGAGTTCCCGCGTTCTTCTTTCTAAATTTTAGTGTAAACAACTACATTTTGAGATGAATCTACTTACATCAGTTTCATATTTTCGAACTAGATCCAAAAAAATTTATTATAGTTAAAGTTTAAAATATTTGACTTAAGACAACATCAAAACGACATTCTTTAGGAACATAGAGGGAGTATTTAGCTAGTTAACTATTACCACTAATGGATCCAAACATGTCCTAAACTAACGACTATTTCACTAATTGAACAAAACTAGTTAATAACAATTAATATTAGTTATGGCCTATTAGCTAACTAACTATTATACTAGCAACCAATGAATCTAAACAAGGTCTTAGAGCATCTCTAATAGTTTCTAAAAATCACTTGGTAAACTAATGAGTTTTTCAAGTAACTAAAAAAATTGAGAGTATATTTGTTGGCTTCCTCCAATAGTTCTAAATCTTGCTCCTAAGGTAATTTTATGTCAAAAATCTCGAGACATTTCTAAATCACTCTAACCACTTTTATAATTTATTTTTTCTTTTGTACATTTGTATCAGAAATTCTATCCTACCTTTTATTATTTTCCATATCCTTTCACCTTAGATTGACACGATGGATAAGCGCTTGTATATATCGGCTCGACGGAGTCGATGTTTATAAGTGTCAAAAAGATTGAAAGGTGGGGTTAGAAGTTGTCGAAGATATGTTTTTTCAATCAAACCAAAATCATAAATCGAGAGATTATTTTTGGAGACGCTCCTAGTTTACATGGCAGGTAATTAATTTCATGAAAAATTGGAAACTGCCTGTTGGGACTCGCATTACCCGGCCGCGCTCCTTTCGTTGGCAGCCTCGCTCCGCACGCGTCCCACCTACCCAGCGGCCGAAGCCCTTGTCCCAGAGTGATTGATCGGGGAAAAATAGAGAGATGGGACCGGAACGCACAACGCAGACGAGCGGAGATGGAAGGGGAAGAGGCAAGGGTGGGGCCGTTCAGTATCAAAAGACGTGTATTACAACCTTTTCTGATTTTCTGAGGTTCCTCCTGTCGAACACGGCGTGTGCGTGTGCGTGTGCGTTGTGCGTTGTGCGTGTGCGTGTGCGTGTGCGTGTGCAGTTAACCTCGGGCTCGGAGTACAGTTTTTCCCCCCTTTTTTTTTTTCCTTCGGTTTCCTTTTGCCTCAGCGGCTCTGCCTGTGCCTCTCCCTCTTCAGTCAGCAATAAAAGGGCACCTTCGTCAGCCAAGGACAGCTCGCTCGCCCTCGCCTCCCGCACTCCTCCCGCCGTCCCCGGCGGTTTCTTCGTCGCCGGAGCCGCCTCCACTGTCCCCAGCCGCGCTAGCAACCACATTTTGGACTTCCCCGCTTGACTTTGGACCTCCCCTGCCGCCAACACCGCCAACCGCCGTCCTCCGCCACCCGCGGCCGGCGGAGCCCCACCTTGCCGTTCCGCATTGCCGGAGGCGGAGATTCCGCGACGGAAGCCGACGCGCGGCAGCCGATTCCGCGATGGAGGCAGCCGCCGCCGCCGATGGTAACCACCAGCTTTTTTAGTGGGGTTTTTTGTTTTTTTTTCTGGGTTTTGTGTTTGTTGCAGTCCCTGGTGTCCGGCCCGTCGATTGGGCCATGCAGTGCAGAGTGGGGCGTGATCAGGCTGGGCCATGTAATGCATGCTCGGTTCCAGCTGATACTGCTTCGATCGCGCTAATGCGGGTGAACTGGAGGTTTTGGCCAAGGTTCCGGATGAGGTGGTACTTGGATCGGGGCTTTGGGGGTTCGTGCCTTCGGTTGAGGGTTTTTGGAGCTATGCCGTTCGTCATGAGCCAAATTTTTTATTCCCTCCTTTGCCTGTGCACTTTGTGGTTATTAACCCTTAGCATTTGGTTTTCGGACTACTATTGATGGATTTCTGCTGATCTCACGATAAGTCATTGTTACATTAGCAGGAGACATGACCTCCTTTACCCTGTGTACTTTGTGGGTTAATAACCCTTATCACTCTATGCATTTGGTTTTGGGACTACTGATGATGGATTTCTGTTGAACTCACAGTACTCACTTGATAAATCATTGTTGCATTAGCAGGAGACATGAATACTTTGAAGAGGCCATCCAACTCATCGCCTCCAGAAGGCGAAACAGACAAGCATAAACGGCAGAAGAGGGAATGCCAGGATTTCTCTCCCAGAAGGTTCTGTACATTTGACCAAGGAATTTCACTGTTATACATTCAGGGTACAGTGTATCATATGATGGTTGTGCTTTGTGATGTTGAATTGATCAGGTACCAGCTTGATGTCTATGAGGTTGCTACGAGGCAGAACACAATTGCGATGCTTGACACAGGAGCTGGGAAGACAATGATTGCTGTCATGCTCATCAAGCATTTTGGGAAGATCAGCAAAGCAAATAATGATGGAAAGCTCATCATATTCCTTGCACCAACAGTTCAACTCGTCACACAGGTGGTTTCTACCAAAAGCTGATGATTCTAACTGAAATGAAACAAGTTTGTGCTGATAGTTTCTGTGACAGCAATGCGAGGTTATTAAGAGCTACACTGATTTTGAGGTGGAGCATTATCATGGTGCGAAGGGTGTTGATCAATGGAAGGCTCATAGTTGGCAACAGCAACTCTTAAAATATCAGGCAAGTTTCATTGCTATCTTTTTCTCAATCATATTGATTCCTCATTTATTCTAAAGGAAATGATCCTCCCAAATTTGTGGCAGTGCTGTTCTGCACACTTCTGTTAATTAGATTAGATTTGCTGACAGCAGGTGTTTAGCTTTCATTTACTCTACTTGGGTTTGAAAGATCATGACATGTACTGTATGGCATGATATAGTTATTCTAGCTTATGTGCATATTGAAATTTTCTGATCTTTTTGCTGCAAATTTGATCTATAAAGCCTTTTTCTTTGTGCCTGTGTATCTACTCTTATTTTTCCCCTTAGTAATTTTTGAAGATATGATTGTCCAATCTTCCTTCACAGTACCTTAATAATTTTGGTAACAAAAAATTATGTTTCTAGATTAAACATTAAAGAAAATTACTGCAGCAAAGTTGCAGAATCCTAGTTTGTGATGCTCCATTTACTTACTTGACAGCCCCCACGAAAAATTGCAGGTTATGGTCATGACACCACAGGTGTTGCTAGATGCTTTACGCCAAGCTTTTTTGATCCTGGACATGGTTAGTCTCATGATATTTGATGAATGCCATCACGCAACTGGTAACCACCCATATACTAGGATAATGAAGGTATTCTGAAAAAAAACACTTTCTTGTAATAGTTACAAAGTTACGAATTACTTTTCTTTTGTCTCGCTTGTTTTTAATTAGTAGTTTCTGTTATTTTGCCCTTTTGAACAGGAGTTCTATCACGGATCAGAGCATAAACCAAATGTATTCGGTATGACAGCCTCTCCTATCATAAGAAAAGGCAAGTATTAATGATAAAAGTATTTAACGTTCTTTTTTGTTGTTATCTTTCAGACATCACAAAATTCCCTGATCTTTAAACTAACATCTCCAGTGGCAAGCTAATGATCTTTGTCAGAAATGTAATTGAGCGATGATTACTAAATTGAATCATGATGGCTTGTAATATCATTATTGAGAAATATGATGATTATGTTGGTGGTGGCTTGGCTGCACCAAAATATCACAAATGATGACATTTTGGTCACATACTAAAACCTGTCATGGCCAAGTGAAATAAATAGGATTGGTGTCTATCCATCAATTAAATACAATGTCACACAGTTCTCCTATGTGTTCAAGAAAAAAGTGAAAAAGATAGAGGAATTCTGAGCGTATAATCTTTATTTGTAATTCCACCATATGTTGTTAATTCTTGCAATTTGGTTTGTTTCCTACCATGGATTTTGTACCTTCACCATTTAAATATTTGCTTATGTTTTGCCATTTTACCTTTTCATCTTGCAGGGGTCTCCTCTGATTTGGATTGTGAAAATCAGCTATCTGAGCTGGAAAATATTTTAGATTCCAAGGTATGTCCCTTTTTTTACTACTTTATTTATTTATTTATACTGCGTGTGTGTACAAGCTTCTTAGATTATCCAGGACACAGTAGCTGTGTGATTATTCCAATATTCCAATTTATCTATGGAACCTCACAGACATGGCCATATTGAAATGCGCGGTTTACAACTATACTTGTTTCATGCTACAAGATGGAACCTCACAGACATATTCCAATTTATCTATGGAACCTCACAGACATTTAGATCTGTCTTTTTAGGTGAAATATGTCCACTTTGCCCTTACACTACAGGAAAATGCTATTAACTGCTCCTATTTACATTGTAACGCAGATACACGCTGTGGTGGATAGAGAGAGAGAGAACTTTGTGTTCCTTCTGCAAAAGAAGTGAACAGATACTATGAGCCAAGAACTGTTTCTTTTGAAGATTTAAGTGAAGAACTGGAAATTTTGTGTTCCAAGGTTTCATACTCTTTAATAATTCCTGGCTCTGTCGTTGAAGTCTTTACCAAAGCTTTTAAGATCGATGTCTAAAATCAGCATCTTTTTACGTGTGCAGTATGATGGGCTGATCGTACAATTGCATAACAGGTCGACCAATCAGTACAAAGATGCTGATGAAATAACAAAAGAATCATGGAGACGTCTCTCAAATTCTGTAGCAAAGATTTGCTATTGCCTTGAAGACACTGGTCTTCTTTGTGCTAGTGAGGTATTAGTTAGAATTGGTTTCAAGCTATTAATGTTTGCCCTTGTTCTTTTTTGTCTTGAGTGTTAATTGCTTTTTGGTCTTTTCCTTTAATTTTCACATTTCCATGGTATTTATTTAGATAATTATTTTTTTCTTAGGGAAGGGTGGGCCTGGTGCAAGTGGTAGAGTCTTACCGCCTGTGACCGGAAGGTCCCGGGTTCGAGTCGCGGTCTCCTCGCATTGCACAGGCGAGGGTAAGGCTTGCCACTGACACCCTTCCCCAGACCCCGCACAGAGCGGGAGCTCTCTGCACTGGGTACGCCCCCCTTTTAATTATTTTTTTCTTAGGCCACTAAAATCTGCATTGAAAGGGGTCAGAGAAAAGGTTGGCTGAAGGGGGGCAGTGACACCACTGATCAGCAACGTGATCCAAATGGACCAATCCTGTTTGCAGAAATTTCAATGGTTCATATGAAGTTCTTTCAGGAAGTGTTGGATGTAATTGACAAACGCCTCCAACAGCAACAAGGTATGACTGTATAGATTAAACTAATTCAATGAAGAACTAATTGCTAAGATGTAGCATTGCAACATCCCATATATTAAGTATGATGCATCGGTGATGATTCCTTGACATTTCAGGAATTGATGCCCTTTTGAACTCAGAGAGTGGATGTGTGGAAGCAACAAAGATGGGCTATATTTCACCAAAGCTTTATGAGCTCATGCAAGTATTTCTCTCTTTCAGGTGAAGTGATATTTTCGTAACTTGACCTGTTCATTTTCAACTATGTGCCTTTACACTAACATGACATACATCTGTGTCTAACAGTGACTCTGATAACATCCGATGCCTTATTTTTGTGGATCGAAAGATTAGTGCTAGAGTCATTGAGCGGACGATGAAGAAAATAGGCCGACTCTCCTTTTTCAGAGTCTCTTTTCTAACTGGAGGGGGAGTTCTTCAGTGGATGCCCTCACCTCTAAAATGCAAAAGGATACGCTGGATTCGTTCTGCTCTGGAAAGGTACTTAACATCTGTCATTTCTGTAAATTGAAACATAGTGCTCAACTTCTCATGATCTGACTTTGTTTTCTTTCCCCCTGAAAAATAAAATGTAGGTCAACTTATTGTTTACTACAGATGTTGCAGAAGAGGGAATACATATTCCAGACTGCTCATGTGTAATAAGATTTGATTTGCCAAGGACTACCCGCAGCTATGTGCAATCACGTGGACGAGCCCGACAGAGGGACTCTCAGTACATACTAATGATTGAACAGTAAACCCTTTCCTTTGTAGTGTTGGTACTATGATTTCCATGATAATAAAACGATTACAAGAAGCCATATTGTCAATGTTCTTCGCAGGGGGAATGTGAAACAAAATGATTTAATATATGGGATTATGAGAAGTAAGGCCTCGATGGCTGAGATTGCTTCAAACCGAGAGCCTGAGGATTCACACCCCAATTTCTTCCCCACTGAAGAAATAAATGAATACCATATAAGCACAACAGGAGCCAAAATAACTACTGATTCTAGCATCAGTGTTCTCAACCAGTACTGTGACAAGCCCCCGAAGGACAAGTATGGTGACTACATTTCCTTTTTGTCCTTTTACATGGCTACATAGATTATATACATTCAGAAATTCTAACATTCCAAGTTTCTGTCAGGTATTTTTTATTTTCCTGTGTAGGGTTCCAACCTATTTTTCTGACTTTCTTGCTCGTGTTGAAGGTACTACACCCCAAGACCCACATTTCAGTTCACCCATTATGGTGATGGTTATGAGTGTACTGTAACACTACCATCTAGTGCCATGTTTCAACTTTTGGTAGGTCCAAAGGCAAGAAACATGCAGAAAGCAAAGCAGCTTGTTTGCCTTGATGCATGTAAGAGGCTGCATCAGCTCGGAGCACTTGATGACCATCTTTCTCCATCAGTTCAAGAGCCGCCTTTGGAAATTTCAAGCAAGTCTAGTATCTCGACATCTGGTGCAGGTTTAGGTATATGATTGTTAATTCCTAAAGAGATATCTTGTATCACATACTCCTTATGTTCCAAATTATAGGTTACTACATTTTCTGAGTCAAACTTCTCCAACTTTGACCATATAAAAGAATACATCATCTATATCATGAAATTAGTTTCATTAAATCCATCATGAAATATGTATTGATAGTGCATTCATTTGGTATGTAGATGTTAATATATTTTCTAAAAAATTGGTTAAAGTTAGAGAAGTTTGAATTAGGACAAAGCTAAAATGACATAATTTGGAATGGGTGGAGTTCTTGTTTGTAGTCATTATGCACAGTGAAGTGAATCTGATTGGTAATATTTATTTATTGTTTATTTACTAAATGATAAATAAACAATAAGTATCTCTAATGACAGTGTCTTATTTTATTCTTAAAGGTACAACCAAACGGAAAGAGCTGCATGGTACAACTAAAGTTCTTTCTATGTCTGGCTCTTGGGGTTCAGATAGAAGTGTGACTAAGCTTCAAGGCTATAAGTTGAATTTTGTTTGTGATCAAGTTGGTCAAAAATACTCCAATTTTATCCTTTTAATTGATGCAAATATAGCAAAAGAATCTGCTACTTTAGATGTTGATCTATATTTGCATGACAAGATGGTAAAAGCTTCAGTATCTCCTTGTGGGCCTCTTGAGTTGGATGCTCGGCAGGTTTGGTCAAATATATTTTTCATCTACGTTGTTTTAGATAATAATTTTTCTTACCTGAAATATTTATTTTGGTTCTTTCTTAGATGGAGCAAACAAAATTATTTCAAGAACTTCTCTTTAACGGTTTGTATGGAAAATTGTTTATTGGATCAAAAGCATAAAAAACTCCAAGGGAGTTCATTCTCAAGAAAGATGACACGTTCCTTTGGAATAAAGAAAATATGTATTTGCTTTTACCTGTGGATTCTATTTTGGATTCTCATAGAAGTGTTTGCATCAATTGGAGTATAATTGATGCAGCGGCTACAACTGTTGGACTTATGAGAAGCATTTATTCAGATGGCAACCATAATCTAATTGACAAACTTAATTATGAAAAAAATGGCGAAGATTTTATTAAGGCTAATGATCTTAGAAATACGGTTGTTCTAGCAATTCACACTTGAAAGATATATACTGTTGTTAAGGTATCTGATTTATGTGCCAATAGTAAATTTGATGGTACATCTGACAAGAAAGAAGCAAAATTTCAGACATTTGCAGAATATTTTGAGAAGAAGTATGCTAAATCTTTTACATATTCATATACTTATTAAAAAATACATAGGCAATAAACACTAAACTAACACACTTCATTTACAGGTATAATATATTTCTTTGTCATCCTTTGCAACCATTGCTAGTGTTGAAACCCACCCATAATCCACACAATCTTCTTTCCTCAAAGAATAGAGATGAAGGTATAAATTATAAACTTGAACTCCGTTTTCCTTTTTAACTGTAGCCAAGTTGATAATTTTGTATAATGATAATGTTTATGCTTTATTGTTTTTTGTAGGCAACGTTGTGGAAAATAAAAATAGGGCGAATAGCCTTGTTCACATGCCTCCAGAGTTGTTGATTCCCCTTGATTTACCTGTTGATGTTTTGAGAGAATTCTATTTGTTTCCATCTCTAATGCATCGTCTTGAATCACTAATGCTAGCCAGCCAACTAAGAAGTGAAATTGAATACACAGATTCTGATATATCAAGCTTTGTGGTATGATATTTATATTTCTAGACATAGTATTATGTTATTCCTTAAAATGTAACATGACAATCAAATTCCCTACACTTCCTCAGATTTTGGAAGCTATTACAACACTTAGATGCTGCGAGGACTTCTCTATGGAGCGTTTAGAGTTATTGGGGGACTCTGTTCTTAAGTATGCAGTGAGTGCTCATCTTTTCATGACATTTCTTAATAAGCATGAGGGGCAGTTATCGTCCAGAAGGCAAGAAACGATATGTAATGCCACACTTTATAGGCTTGGTATTGAACGCAGAATACAGGTAATTTACATCTCATCATCGGCAATATGGACAAAATGCTGCATTTTGCTTCAAAAAATGAGCTATAATACTATTTTAATAAACTTTGTTATTGATGGAATGCCATCCATAGGGTTACATACGTGATGCTGCATTTGATCCTCGTCGATGGCTTGCTCCTGGACAGCTTTCCAGACGTCCCTGTCCTTGTGAATGCCCAGTAAAATCTGAGGTTATAACTGAGGATATTCATAGGATTGATGACAAATCTATAATTATAGGCAAGGCGTGTGACAAGGGACACAGATGGATATGTTCCAAAACCATCTCTGATTGTGTTGAGGCTATAATTGGGGCCTATTATGTGGAAGGGGGATTAAAAGCAGCTTTTGCTGTTCTCAAATGGTTGCAGATTGAGACTGAAATTGAGGAAGAGCTAATTATGGAAGCCCTGTCCTTCAGTTCGAAATTATCTTCCAAAAGTTGATGTAGTTGAATTGCTTGAAGCAAAACTAGGCTACACCTTTCAAGTGAAAGGTTTGCTAATAGAGGCTCTCACCCACCCATCACAGCAAGAATCTGGAGCAACATACTGCTACCAGGTATGGTTGATATTTATCTTGAACTTAGCTAGTTCAAGGCTTTTTATTCTTGATAGAGAAAGGCCAAGAGGCTTAGATTACTTGATGATGAGATTACAAGAGGGTTACATATATAGAGAGAGAGGCTAAGCTAGAGAGTTAAGAGGGGAGAAGTCCTAGGCAACAAGCTGGGAGTACCTAGGCAGCACACTGGGTAGAAACCCAAGAGGCAGCCGATACAAAGTAATAGCTAGAGGAAATAAATACTCTAACTTTTCGCATCGAACGTCGTTAGAAACGAACGTTCGAGATCGGAGCGAAAATCCATAAAAACAGAAGAAGGAAGGCCCTTGGTGAAGACATCGGCGAACTGCGACATGGTGGGAACGTGAAGCACACGGACAGCCCCAAGGGCGACCTGTTCTCGGACGAAGTGAAGATCGATTTCAGTGTGCTTGGTGCGCGATCTTTGAACGGGTTGGTGGAGAGGTAGACGGCGCTGACGTTGTCGCAGTAGATGAGGCAGGCATAATCCAGAGGGTGGTGCAGCTCCTGCAGAAGTTGCCGCAGCCAGGAGGCTTCGGCGACGCCATTGGCAACTGCACGGTATTCGGCCTCGGCGCTTGACCGTGAAACAGTGGGCTGGCGCTTGGACGACCAGGAGATGAGGCTGCCACCGAGGAAGATAGCATAGCCAGAGGTGGAACGTCGGGTGTCAAGGCAGCCAGCCCAGTCAGCGTCGGTGTAGACGATGAGCTGAGTCGGGGCAGAGCGGGGAATGACAAGACCAAAACTGATAGTGCCCTGAAGGTAGCGAAGAATCCGCTTGGCAGCAACAAGATGAACTTTCCGGGGATCATGCATGTGCAAGCAGACTTGTTGAACGGCGTATGCGATGTCGGCCGAGTGAAAGTTAGGTACTGGAGAGCACCCACAAGGCTGCGATATGCTGTAGGATCAGCAACAGAGGGGCCGGCATCAGCAGAGACTTTGGCACAAGTGTCAACAGGAGTGGAACAAGGCTTGCAGTCGGTCATGCCGTGGCGAGCAAGAATGCCCAGAGTGTACTGGTGCTGGGAGAGAAATAGAGTGTCCGTCTGTCGCTGAACTGCCACGCCAAGAAAATGGTGAAGGGGACCAAGATCCTTCATGGTAAATTCCTTCTTCAGTGCATCAATCACCCGGTATAAGAGTGGCTGAGAGGAGGTTGTAACAACAATATCATCCACATATAGGAGCAAGTAGACAGTCTCGGTGCCGCGGTGATGGATGAAGAGGGAGGTGTCGGACTTGGCTTCAGTGAAACCCAGAGATAGCAGATAAGAAGCAAACCGGCTGTACCATGCTCGCGGTGCCTGCTTCAAACCGTAGAGGGACTTGTTGAGCCTGCAGACGTGTTCGGGAAGATCCGGATCAGCAAAACCGGTGGGCTGAGAGCAGTACACCGTTTCTGACAATGTCCCGTGAAGGAAAGCATTCTTCACATCAAGTTGATGGATCGGCCAGTCCCGAGAGTGAGCCAGAGTGAGGACGGTGCGAACGGTAGCGGGCTTGACGACGGGACTGAAAGTCTCATCGTAATCAACTCCGGTATTGTATGTGAACCCCACGGAGCACCCAACGAGCCTTATATCATCCGGTGAGCCATCACGCATGAAACTTGTGTTTGAATATCCATTTTCCGGTGACCACATTTGCCTTTAAGGTGCCGAGGAACGAGATCCCAAGTGTGGTTGTCCAAGAGAGCAGCGAATTCTTCTTCCATGGCCCGACGCCAGTGCGGAGTAGCAAGAGCATCTCGACAGGACCGCGGCAGTGGGGACAGAGCCTCGGTGTGTAGAGCAAGGCGAGGCTGTTTGTATCCGGACTTCCGCAGTTGCCATGCCATGAGAATTGGCGAGTGGCGGGATGGAGACCGCTCACAGGTAAAAAAGTGGAGGACCACTCTTGACGAAGCGTGGTGGAGAGGGAATCATGCCGGAGGCGTCGAGGAGGAGCCCCGGCTGGGACGTTGGTGGCGAAGTCAAAAGCGGGGCACGCCGGTGTAGACGTGGACAACGGGCGGCTTGCTGAAGAAGTGAGCCGGGCGCTGCCTGACAGGAGCCGTGGGCGCTGTCTGGGCGCCTGGGCGCTGTTCACGAGCGCCGGTGGAGGGGGTGCCATGGGCGCGGTGAAGCCGGGTGGAGGAGACCGGGACGCCGGGTGCTCGGGTCCCGCGTGGCCGGGTGGTCAAGGCACACGGCTGGGGGGGGACCGCAGAGGGCATTTGGCCGGTAGGTGGCAGCGACCCTGTGTGTTCTGCAGGGAGAAAAGGAACTGACGGAGGGTCGTCATCAGTTAGAAAATCCAGTTCGTGTGTAGGCGGGGAAGGCCGGCGAAGTGAGAAAGGGAATGTTGTTTCGTCGAAAACAACGTGGCGGAAGATGATGACACGGTTTGTGGCGAGGTCGAGACACCTGTAACCCTTGTGATCGGGAGAGTAGCCAATGAAGACGCATAAAGAAGAGCGCGGGACAAGTTTGTGAGGAGTGGTAGCGGTGAGATTAGGATAGCGGGTGCACCCGAAAGCTCGAAGGTCATGATAGGAAGGGTGAGTACCATAGAGTGCGAAGAATGGAGTGCTCATGTTCAGCGTTTTGGTGGGGAGGCGATTTATGAGGTAGGTGGCAGTAGCAAGGGCATCGGCCCAGTAAGAGGGGGGCATGGATGCTTGGAAGAGTAGGGTGCGGGTGACATTGTTGGTGGAGCGAAGCATGCGTTCGGCTTTGCCATTTTGCTGCGAGGTGTAGGGACATGACATGCGAAGAGAAACTCCTTTGGCAAGAAAGAAAGCACGAGACGCAGAGTTGTCAAACTCACGACCGTTGTCACATTGCACGGATTTGATGGTACAACCGAACTGAGTGTGCACAAAGGTGAAGAAATTGGAGAGAACAGAGAAAGTGTCGGACTTTAATCGAAGAGGAAAAGTCCAAAGAAAATGAGAGCAATCATCGAGAACAACGAGATAATATTTAAATCCGGATGCACTGACAATAGGGGATGTCCATAGGTCACAATGTATCATATCGAAAATTTTAGGTGCTCTAGACAAGGAACTAGTTAAAGGCAAGCGAATATGGCGCCCAAGCTGACAAGCATGGCAGATGGAGTCATTTGTAGACTTGCTGCAGAAAATGGAAGATGGCTGGGCGAGACTCTGAAGGGTAGCCTTGCCGGGGTGGCCGAGACGACGATGCCATGTAGTTGGAGAAGGAGTAGTCACAAGAGCACAAGGGTCAGAGGGCGACGATGGGAGCTGCAAGGTGTAGAGCGGCCCTGAGCTGTTACATCGAAGGAGGATGTCCCTGGTACGGAGATCCTTCACAGAAACACCAAGAGGATCAAACTCCACAGAAACAAAGTTATCAGTAGTGAACTGGCGAACGGAAAGGAGATTTTTAATGATGTCAGGAGCTATAAGGACATTGTTGAGACGGAAAGGGCCAGAAAGAGTGGAGTATCCGGTGCCAATAACCGGTAGAGTGACGCCATTTCCCACAACAATGGAGGAAAGAAAAGAGGAGGATGGAGATACGGTAACCATACCAGGGTTGGAGGCAATGTGAGACGAAGCACCCGAGTCGATCACCCAGTCCGAGGAGGTCGGTGGCGGGGTGAGGGTGACGGTGCTGAAGGCGTTGGCGAGGGACTGAGGATCCCATGGTGACCAAGCAGGAGGCGTCGGAGGTGGTGCTGGCGTCCAGGCAGGATGAGGCGCCTAGGTGGGCACCTATTGGTATGTCCCAGGAGCCGAAGGGTAGTAGGTTGGAGGCACGCCGGCCACCAGAGCGTGCTGCTGCAGCTGCGGCGATGGAGGCGGGCCGGTGCGGAGAGGTGGACCGCGAGGGCCACCGGGAGTAGCCCCGGGCCACATGTGAATGGACCCGGTCCACGGGTTGAGGAGGGAGGGCCACTGGGAACCACCGGGTGAGCCGTTGTTCGAGCCTCCTTGGCCACGGCCGCCACGACGACGCCGGCCACGGCCATTACCAGAGAAGCCCCCCCCCCCGGCGTTCTGTTGAGGACGCTCCCCGGCGTTCTGTTGAGGGCGCTGGATTGCAGACCCAGAGGCCGGCTGGGATGCAGGTGGCTTGCTGGACGAAGAGACGATGAGAGCCGATGGAGGTGCCATGTTGAGCTCGGCCAGGCGCAGGTCGGCGCGGACGTCCGCAAAGGAGGGAAACGGCTTCTGGCACGTGATGAACTGTGACATGAACTGGAAGCGCTCATTGAGGCCTCTCAATATGTTCAGCACCAGAGTACGGTCATGGACGGGCTCGCCAAGATCGGCAAGGGCATCAGCCATGCCCTTCATCTTGCGGCAGTAGTCGTCGATGGAGAGGGCGCCCTGGGAGAGAGTACGGAACTTAGCGTCGAGGAGCATGGCGCGTGACTCGCGATTGTTCAGGAACTGCTATTCAATGCCGAGCCACGCAGCCCGAGCGGAGATGTCGTCACGCTCGTGGATGACGTCCAGAAGATCGGTGGAGATGGTGTTGAAGATCCAGGAGACGACCACGCAGTCCATGCGGGACCACGCAGGATCGGTGAAGCGGGAGGCGTCACTGAGGACGTGATCCTTCAACGCGAAGCGGCCGAGGATGAGGAGGACGTAGCCGCGCCACCTGGAGTAGTTGGAGGACTGGAGGTCCAGAACGATCGGAATCAAGTTCTTGATGTTCTGGACAGCGGCAGCCTGGCTGTGCAGATGAGCGATGGTCGCGGCGTCGGAGGAGGAGTGATCGCCGCCGTCCTGAGAGCCGTCGTCATGGAAGGAGTCTGTGCGGAGACGGTCCCGGAGGGCAGCGGCCTGCTGTTCCAGGACGTCGGTCTGCGCGCGCTCCTTCTCGAGAGCGTCAGCGGC